CTGCTTTGGAAATTAAACTGTAATTTCCCGTATCTCATTAGCTAATTGGTTCAATATCATTTTCGCGAGTTTAATCTAGAATTGCTTTTTTAAACATTCATTATATCAACTAACCGGTATTATGTAGGTTGTCCAGAGTTCATATTAATTCATATTAGGACAAACCAATTTATACCAGATCTTTCTGAACATGGTCTGCATTTGTATAAAACAGTCATATGGCCCAGAAAAAACTATAGCAATAGAAAATTAAGTGCGCTACAATTTTGGACCAAGCTATTTTTGTGGTTACTCGTACCGTTACAGCAAAATCTGAAAAAATGGTAATTAATTTCCACATGTAGCCGTCAATAGAAATGTTTGCGCTCCAAAGATCGATGGGGACTTTAACTATACTAATTGTAATAACATATTGGAGACCTGAAGCAATTTTCAAGTGATATGAATTTCATTAAAAGTTTCATATAACATTGCTTTCACAATATGATCAAATATGAAAAGTTGAATATATTCCGCATAAGAACAGAAGAGACCTTAGAGTCCACAGATCGCTAAATCTCATAAACGGTTACTAAAGGAATAAAACTATTCCAACAACAGTGATATACCCTACAATTTTCGTATAAGGTGTTTTTGTGCTATCTCTTTCCTTTTTTGAGAAATACCACAAAATGTTGTTTTTTAACATTTAATCCCAAATAAAACAAGGTCCCGCTCCAGAGATTTATGTGGATTTTTGATATAGTATTCATAGTGGAGTATTTAGGGTATGTACAAGTTTCTAGCAATAGACAAATTTTTGTAAAACTAATTTTGACGGGAATGATTACAAATATCTAGGCTAGATTTGCGCAGCTAAATTCATCAAATTTCATCCTATATATATATATATATATGTTGACGAAAATTTAAATATGATAAAAATATTTTTCAAATTTTGTCAGACTTAGATCGGTTTGACTGGCTCTTTGGTAAACTTAAATGCACTCAAACTAATGCTTTATACTATTTTGAAAGCAAAGAAGTTTTTCCGTCAATTTTTACGCTTAATTTAGGTCTTCCATCACACCTTGGAATGGGGAATCCGAATTAAGCATAATCCTGTGTACTATATATTTTCAACAATTCACTGAAACATCACGTTGACCTTTCGCCATGGGTCGAAGTCTTCGATTTGGGGCAATCAAATTGGTTTGAAATATCAGAGAAGGTCGTGAGAATGAGTGCAAACCGTGTGAATCTTAATATTTCACTACGTCGTAATATTGGGAAAAGCAAATTAACTTCAAACATTTTTAATTTTGCAATCTATCTGAGAAAAAGTGTTGACCTGAGTTGGAAAAAACCTTTAGCTCGATTACAAATCATATATTTCATCTTCACAACAAAGTAATATAAATAAATTATATTACGAGTGGAAATTCTAGTTTAAACCTTAAATCGCAATGTGAATTTTGATAAACACCTTCAACAGCAATGGTTTTCTTGTATTGGCACTTGCCAGGAACTCGAGCATGTGCAATGACTGTTGTTTTGGAATGATTTTCTCTAATCTTAGAAGCATGTATTGTTTTTGAGATTATACTGAAATCAAATCGGGCGATCTCGCTTCACTCACAGCTCGTAATATTCAAATATTTGGTGTTTTATATTACAAAGAATATTGAATCACTCACCTAGGAGCTGAGACGTCTATAGAAGCAACCAAGCATCATTCCGAATATGTTATCCGTATAGTATATGTCGACTATTCATTGTCAAGTTTGTTTTGTGTTACGTATGTGCTTCAAGAACACAATTATTGCTTCCAAATATAGAAAATGCATGAGACTCTTGGGTAATTCCTTTGTGAACGTTGCCCAGTTTATGTTCGCAAGTATATTATTGTCCATCGCCATATCGGTCAAATACCATTATTTTTTGAGATTCTCAAATGACAAGTTTTCAAACCAGAAATTTGAAACCGTCAGTGATGAAAGCGGCGATACGACAGTTGACTGACATGTTACAGATCCTACAGAGTGGTTTAAATGAAAAAAAAAAAAATGAACAAGCAGTTTACGCCCAATATTGGGAATCAATACAAAGTGTTGACAGGAACGACAACACTTTCAATATAAAATTTTTAGGTATTTATGAGACCTACAAAATGAGACCACACATGAAAAGATCCGACAAATAACAAAACTGTTATGGCCGAAAAACGAAGCGAAATGCAGGTTTTGGTACTTGTTGGTAAAATGCGCAACTACGTAAAATTCTCCAAATCCGGAGGATTCATACTTCTAAAAAACAACAAAACTGGAGTATATTAGTTAAGTAATTTTTTGAGAATTCCTAATTCTTTATCCCAAAACACCTGTTTTCCGGCCACCATTACTAGTTTATTGAGCAATATATAGGGTTCATTCAAAGAGCATTTAAAAGCAAAATACACGCGTTTACCTTGCCGATATGAATCACAAACCATTCCGAAAAATAAATGCTAATTTTATTCCAAAAAAAAAAGGTTACTTTTTGTTCTTCTAAACAAATTCAAATATTTGACGTTACTGTACACATTTCAAAACAAAGTGGATGTGTCTATCATCTTTTGTTGCGAATTACTCACATATACGAAATGTTTGAATTTGTTTAGAAGAAAAAAAACGTAACCCATCCTTTTTTGCATAAAAATAACATTTATCTTCCGGAATGGTTTGCGATTCTTAACGGCAAGGTAAACTAGTGTATTTTGCTATAAAATGCCCTTTGAACTAACCCTGTATATTGTTCAATAAACTAGTAGTGATGGCCAGAAAACAGGTGTTTTAGGATGAACAATTAGAAATTCTCAAAAACTACTTTACCAATCTACTCCAATTTTGTTGTGGTTATCTAGAAGTACGAATCTGAAGTATTTCAAATATTTGCGAGGAACCATCGTCACATTACCGACAAGTGCCAAAACCTGAAGTTTGCCTCGGTTTTCGGCCATAACTTTTTTGCTATTAGTCGGATCTTTTTACCTGTGGTATCATTTTGTAGGTCTCATAACTACCCAAAAATCTTATATGTAGAGTTTTTTCGTTCCTGCCAATACTTTCGATTGAATCCCTAAAAACATTCTCATCTCATTCTTTGTTGTCGAATAAAAAGTTTTCCCACAAAAATTCGTGTACCCACTTTATGCGTCCATGTTTTGAATACCGCTTTGAACAACTTGCAGCAATAAAACCAGACTTTACGATTATTTCGCAAACCAGCGGTATTTTCGTCTAATATGATTAGACTAAGTCTATTGTGCGTTATGTTGTTGACTGTGTAGCAATATTTGTGGAAAAAACCAAATGCGCTTTAACTACCTCTGTCGGTGATCAGTAACCCGAGAAAAACTTACAAAGTTAAAACTGTCTGACTTATAAGTTTTTCATCGATCAATATTTAAATACGCCTTAAATGTTCAAAACAGTCAAAAAGTATAACCGTTTTTGAAACAAAAAAATAGCGTCAAATAGATTGACATTGCACTTCCGGTACAACGCTACAATCAGTACATAAAATATTATATCCGATATAAGTTAGCCTTCTCCGAAAAAAAAAATAGCTACGGAAATGAATAACAAGAGAATTGAATGGATCAAGCCAGTCAAGCCCTGGGGTTCCTGAATAGTATTGCCAGGTCCGATTTGCTTCAAAAAAGGTAAAACAAATCGGCATTTAGCATTGTAGATCGAGGCAAATAAAAAAACAACTTTTATTGTGTTTCTCAACTGATATAGTTCATGTATTGATTATGAACACGGTTTATAGTTTTATATATTCAATTTTTTGTTAAAATTATAGTTTTCATTAGATTTTGCTGCATTTAAGTTTGCCTCGTTTTTTATAACTTAGTTATAAAATTCACTGCAGATCACCCTATGGTCGGTAATTCATTTGAATTTCTGTTTTGACATGTGCGAGTGTCAAAGGGTTTCGCCTCTGAGCGAAATTACGTTAGTCTGGGAAAATACCCTTTCCGATGCCACGTTTTATACCGTTCCTGAAGACATACAAGAAAATACCTTTTGAAGATTTGTAAAGACTTTTTGATAGTACTTTAATTGTTCCATGTAAAAAAACGCATCAATTTTTAGATACTCGTATTAGATCCTGAGCTAGAAGACAAAACAAAGCCACATCTACAGCTGTAGTGATATTATGGCTATTTTGAGCGCATTGTTGCGCTCGACATAGTGATGTGATGCGTAATATTAATTTAATTTGTGTAATAATGGTTTTTAAAAAGAATATTGATTTATCGGAAAATTTAGTGTCCCGATCAGGTGCAAATCGGGACGGGTCCCCAGACCGCTGGAAAAAATCGGTACGTCCGGCGCAATTCGGGACATCTGGTAACGCTAGTCCGGAACCCCAACCAAATAAACGCATTTAAAGAAACGTTCGAACGTTCTTCAATTTGTAGATAAACACCCTTCCTGTTCTTCAATTTTGAATCGAATATCCCAACTTCATTTTTTTCAATCGCTGTCGATAACGATAAAGTGCTATCGAATGAAGTTGTTTTTTTCCAGTGAAAATGATAATCCTTTTTTTCTGATTTCCAACAAATGTGGTTTGTTAATCTTATTTTTATTGCCTTAGTCAAAAACCTGAAGCTTGCGTGTCATTTAATCATAAATATGTATTCCGGTCCTATACCAGATTACATATGCGGCTAGATGCAAATTGATTCGAACTCATGTAAGTAAATGACACACAGATTTCAAGTTTTTGGCCAAGCTAATTAAAATAAGTGTGATAAACCATATTCAGGGTGTTCTATTTAAGAAAATAAAACTTTATACGAGGGATGTCTTTTAAGTTTTGTATATAGAAACATAGTAGGCCGCGCGGATCGAACGTCAGTACTGAATCTTAACCTCACTCTTTAGTAAACTTAAATTCAAAGTTTCACGACAATACGTGCAGTGTTCTCACTACAGTGAATTTTTAAGTGTCACCAAGTCATTAGAAAAATGGAACTCAACCGAGAACATTTTCGCGCCATAATTTTTTACAACTTTCAGAGACAATTATCGAAACAAGAATGCCTTGCTGAGTTACTGTCTGCACTAAGTGCCTGTAAGATTGCTTCGAGTCTTGTATTGCAATGCAGGGAGGCTCTGGATTGCCTCGCAGCATGCTGGGATAAGGGGCAATGAGACGGCGGACACTCTGGCGAAAACAGGATCAGCCAGCAAGCTCGTTGGTCCTGAGCCAGCTCTAGGAGTAACCGCGCATAAAGCTAGGAGGAAAATGGAGACGTGGGTTGCAAGACAACACTCTCAGAAATGGAGAAGTATCTCTAGACATCTCCGCCAGGCACGAGAGCTCATTAAAGGGCCCAGTGCTAAGGATGGACGCTTCTGCCTATCTCTGGGTAGAGCCAACCTAAGGTTGCTGGTGGGAATGTTGTCTGGCCATAACACGTTAAGGCGTCACCTGCACGTGATGGGGGTGGCTGAGGATCCCTTGTGCGAACGCTGCGGAGTAGAGGAAGAGACCTCGGCGCACGTTTTGTGTCGCTGTGAAGCTCTGAGCTACTATGGGCAGACTATACTGGGGTCCATTACTTTGGACCCTCAGGACGTCAAGGAGCTTGGACTCAAGGCGATTCTCAACTTCGCTAAAAGGGCGAGGCTTGTGATTTAAGGATTGTAGAGGTGCATAAGGGCCCGCTTAAGCGGCCTATGCACTGGCTCCTTATGGTGGCCGGGATGCCTCTAAATTTTAAGATTCATTCATACTGTCTGTTTTCGGCAACGAAGCGCCACATCAGTCGACAATTTCCCGTTGGTATGGAGAATTCAAACGTGGACGGGTGAGTTTTAGCGACGATCCCAGGGTAGGTGCACCAAAAACGGCAGTCACCCAGGAAAACGTCGATGCTGTGCGCAAACTCATCATTGAAGATAGACATGTGACATATCGCGAGATTGAGGCGTCCTTGAAGATCTCAAAGACCTCAATTCAAAAAATTTTACATGAAGAATTAGGAGTAAGAAAACTAGTTTCTCGTTGGATACCCCACCTGTTGAGTGAAGAGCAGAAAGCAGTCAGGGTTAATTGGTGTCAAAAAACTCTTGACCGTTTCAATTCCGGAATCTCAAAAAATGTGTACAGCATTGTTAGTGGTGATGAATCGTTGATTTACTGTTATGAACCAGAAAATAAACGACAGTCGGCTGTTTGGGTGTTCCAAGGTGAAGAAAAGCCAACAAAAGTCATCCGTTCTCGAAGTGTTTCGAAAAAGATGGTCGCGAAATTTGTGTCAAAAGCGGGTCATATTGCAACAATTCCTCTTAATGAGCAAAGAACTGTTACTGCGGATTGGTATACCACCATTTTTTTGCCAAAGGTCATCACCGAGCTTCGAAAAATCAACCCCGAAAGAAGAATCATCCTCTACCAAGACAATGCAAGCTCGCACAGATCCCAAAAAACAAGGCAGTATTTAACGGAAGAAAACGTGGAACTATTGGACCATCCTCCATATAGTCCCGATCTAAGTCCTAACGATTTCTTTACTTTACCGAAAATTAAAAACAGACTGCGCGGTCAAAGGTTCCACCACCAGAAGAAGCAGTTGACGCATTCAAAAATGCCGTTTTGGATCTGCCAGCAAACGAGTGGAATAAGTGCTTCGAAAATTGGTTCGAGCGCATGCAGATGTGTATTAATCTTCGTGGAAAATACTTCGAAAAACAATAAAGTCATTTAAAACTACCTACCGTGTTGTTTTATTTCCATATGCAAAACTTAAAAGACATCCCTCGTATCATGCAAAACTTCATACAGACCTTAAACCTTTTATATACAACTTTGTCTCCTGGAAGATCATATAAAAAGTTAGAGAGGGTAAAATTTATATATATATGTCATATAAAATCTAAAAAAAAAAATTCATTTTCGAGATTTAATGAGATTAATTTCATCCTTCTCTCTTTTTTACTTCCTTTACCTCGCCTCTGACGTAGGAAGTAAAAATATATTGACTTCTTCGACACATGGAACAAATAAACTACGTGAACCATTTGATTTATGAACACGTTGTACAGTGGAAGATACGATATCTACAATGTTTTTCAGAAAGAAAATGATGTTATTTGTGAAGCACTCATCTGGTAATTTCAAAAATAATGTTCCTTGTCTGAGAAGAAAAGCTAAATATAGTTAAACATAACGAGTCATTCCACTGGCAACTGAGTCTTCCTTGCGTTAGTATGAACTTGCTTGAACTGCATTCGGGGACGTGACTTTCAAAAACAAAACATTGGTCGTATATTTTTCTACATTGATACATTACATAAAAAAGATCGTTATTACTCAATTGTAAAACCTTGATAATCTGGACACTATACAAATAAATTCCATAACAATAATTGATATCTCTTGGCTTGGCGATAAAAATTTGAATTAATCTATTTCGACTAGGTACAAGCCCAATAATGTTTCAGATATAACGAGGATGACTCCTTTATTAACTTTTATGAGAATTTAGCTTGTTGTTTTTTAGAAAAGATTTTGTTGCCCTTCGATATGCTGACGTTTAAAATACACGTTTGTACACCAAGCAACATGACAATATTATACATGTGTTGATCAAAGTGACTAATATTTAAATCACTTGTAAGGCCGGTCATTTAAGTTATAGTGAATCATCGAAAATAAACTTGTAAACACACAAATCGTCAGCAAGGCTCCGTTCAAGTAATATGTAAAAGCATCCGGTTTCAAAAGCTTCCGGTTCATTTGAATAATATTTCAATGAGGGGTAGTACAAAATTATATGGCACAGAGTGGAACTTTTTTTAAAACGTGAGGTCTCTACATCTTTTTAGTTATCTTGAAAATAGCCATGTTCAGAAACGTAAAATGTGTGTGAAGAAATTGTGCTGAGTATATTTCAACAGGTTCCTCAACAAGTACTACAACCTCAAGCTTATGGTTTGTTTCAAAATATTAAAAGAAAAAAATGATTATTCCCTATTATCTGGATGTTCAACATTAGACATGCTACACTTTTTTTAAACGTTTATACTTATTATTTTTATCAGTTTATTTTGATTTTATAGGATTTTCGGGCTCCCACAAGTTTAAAGGTCATAAATCATTCTCAGCATTATTTCATAACTCACTCTTATCTGCCGTTGATATTGAGCGGTAGCGACATTTTTTATTTGCGATACCTCCATGAAATTTGTTGGCATAGTAGAATCACAATAATAAAGCTTTTACAACATATCCGAATCTATTTTCACCTTCCTAATTATGTTTATTGGAATTTTTGAATGTATTCCAAATGCAAACCTATTTAATTTCATTTTGGAGGTCCCAACATTCTTTATAAACTCATATTTCCTTTCTAGGGACTCTTCCAAAACCTGTATTGTGTGAAATTTGAACATTTACAAAAATGCGTGGAACACTCCAGTTAGAGTGTTGTTATGTATAACAGAACCCTACGGAAGAGTTTCGCGTCTCTTCTCTTCGCTTTCCTTTCCCTCAACGAGCAAGCACCTCTATTTGGCGACAAAACACTTTCAGAAACATCGTGCTAGGAATGCGAAGTATATGTTTTCCAAATATCAGTATGGCTTCTTAAGAACTGAGATGAGATAGTTGTGTTCAATATAGATCATGAAAAAGTACACAATTGAAGAATATCCGGTTTTCATTGGAGGGTTTTATGAAAACGTTAGTAAAATTCTGAATAAAATGAAAATAAACTGTATTTACAAGATCAAAAAACCGAGTCAAGTAGACTGTCTCGGGACTTCGCACGCAATGACAAATATATTTAAGCTTTAGGTACACGCTATTTATAAAGCATCATTAATGATAAGTTAGTAAGAAATGTTTCATTTAATTGTTTGGGTTCGCATTATATTTTTACTGTGCCTTAATGTGGTCAAAGAATTGACTTTTTTACTATGTCTCAAAATTATTTCAAGGCGTTCTGAAACTTTATGTTTTCCTCTCGTAAGTCCGTCGCCACTAGATCGATTTTCATTTGGTTTGGTAAAAATATAGCCTAATAATTTGAGCACTACCATTCGAAGTATCAGCGGGTTCAAGAATTACCGGATAGATGACAACAGGGAGACCAACATAAATGAGTGACAATATTTTTAGTGATGTACGTATCATACAGCATGACAAACACAATATCTCGATTCTGGAATCCTTCTCAATTACAGTTCCTCCTTTATCGTTGAGGGTAGGATATAATAAGTAAAATATCCAATCAATGTTGCTGTTATAAGAGTAACATCACCAAAAATTAGGTTCACTATTGTAGTTACGGAGCATATTGCAATGAATGAAAGGCATACACCAAACTTTCAGTTTTTTCAATGAACTTCTTGTTCATTTAAATTTAAAAGCTCACGATTATTGAAAATTCTTTACGTAATAGTACAGCGTATAGTAGAGCGTAAAATGCATTAACAAAAGTTAAAACTCGACCAACTTCCGCTATACATTGACTCCCCTCTTAAGTTTTTTGTATGACCGCCTAGAAACAAGTTTTATACATGAGTTGTATCGTACAATATGAATTTTTTCATGCATATCATATGCATGTCTCAGAAAAGTCCTATCGAGTAAAGTTGTATTTGTTTAAAGGTACACCATGTGATTTTTAGTGGACATGAAAGACGTTTTTTTCTGGCTTCAAATATACAGTGTATCCACTAACTTGTAGGATAATTCAGCAGCTGCAAATGATGACTACTATAAGGTGAAATTTTGTTTTATCAAAAGTCTTCTGGTTTGCGAGATTTTCAGCATTAAATTTTGTTGTTGAAAAACTCGCTTGCATTTATTTAATGCCCTGCCATTTCTACAAATTTTTCGACCCAACTTGTTTCAGAAGAAACACAATTATCCATTACAAACCACCTAATATTATTTTTGCTTAAGATTTCGACAAACCTATATAAAAATCATACAAAAGACTAAACTTAAATGAAAACTCGGTCTCACGTTTCGATTTGACGCCATTCAGTGAGAGTCAAGTATTTACGATCACTGTGCCAATTAGTCGAAAAAGTTGGTTGGTTATTGACAATTTTTAAACGGTATTATTGTTATTCACATTATGGTATCTTTATAATTGCAGTTATAATTGAGGGGGTGGGCTTCCCAAATATCAAAAAGTGGCATTTTATGGCTTGGAGACAAAAGAAGGGGCAGGATTGATTGAGGATAATTTATGATAAATCTATTGTGTTATACAAACCATTTACTGTTATACGTACATATCCTACGTTTATCATAAAATATACTTTTAATCTCTCAGAATAACTATATATAGCATACTAGACCCTGGTTCAATTTTGGAACCAAATTTTGGTAAAGTATTACCGTGTTGTAGCAAATGTGTTGGCCTTATTTACACATACTTCAAAGCATAATGCATTGAAGATGATACCAACCTAGGTAAGAGTAAGGGCCGTATCGTCAGTCGTTCCTACAATTGTAGGACGCCTTTATGGCCTCCTTGATTGTCATAGACTTTTCCCTCCTTCAAAAATTTCTAGATTGCACCTTTTCCGTGTCAGCGTCAGCGCTCTCCTATTGTAAAGTTATGTTTTCTATTTTGAATTGTAGGAAATTTCAGGCTGATAAAACATGATATAAATCAATAGCATGAACAATTTGATGCAAATAGATCAATATCTAACTCAAAATAGAGCGCTGACACGGAAAAGTAGAAAACTATGAAAATCAAGGAGGCCTTAAAGGCGTCCTACAACTGTTTAGCCTTTTAGATTCCTCAGCCAACATTCGGGAAACAGATTTGATTGCAATGTGTGTTTCGGATTATTTGGCATAGCGAACATACCTACTTGATTCTTTCATACTATAGGGTGTCAAAGTCAGACGTGAGGATGGTTTTGCTTCAAAATTAAGTGCCGTTCCTACAATTTATTGTAAGAAACGCCTTTATGGCCTTCTTAATTTTCATAGTTTTCTACTCTTCCATGTCAGCGCTCTATTTTGAGGTTATGTCACAAATATCTATTTACATCAAGTTATTCATGCTTTTGATTTAAATCATCTGTTATATCAGCCTGAAATCTTGTGCAATTCAAAAAGAAACATAGCCTGACAATAGGAGAGCGCTGACGCTGACGTGGAACAGTAGAAATCTAGAAATACCCCAGACAGCCTCGCTGAAGGAGAGGAAAGACTATGGAAATCAAGGAGGCCATAAAGGCGTCCTACAATTGTAGGAACGACTGACGATACGGCCCCTAGACTTTATAATACTTTTATGTTGGTTTTTCCTCATTCTCTGTGACAAATGGAGTCAAGTAGATTGACTCTGAACTTCCCACGCCCTCGACAAAATCATTGTACTGGAGAGCACATGTGATTTCGATTGGCAAGAGATATGGGAGATTATAAATTATTCTTCTTTTTGCCCCCAAGCCTTACAAAGCTTTTTCGATATTAGAGAAAACCCTCCTCCATTAAAATCAAATAACAACAGTACGCGAATAACAACAATACCATTTAAAAATTGCCATGATGACCAAATTTTTCGAATAATTGGCACATGGATCATACTTGATTTTCTCACACTACAGGGTGCCGAAGTCAGACGTGGAAACGGGTTTTCATTAAAATTTAGACTAATATGATTTTCATGTGGGTTTCTGGGTAGGATGAGTAGATTATGGATGTTCTCCAATAAGTCAAAAATGTTATTTGTACAAATAGCAGGATTAATTGAATGCAAGCCAGTTATCGAACAAACCACTTGGCCTTAAAGTTGTTGTGCACCTAACTTGGTGGCAGAACACTCTGCGAAATTCATCATAACACATCGCAAATACCATAAACAAATCATCGTCGATCAAGAAACATGCGAGCGTACTCTCAACAAACACTGGTGTGAACGTTCAGATTCACGGTCACTCGCCAATTTCGGCTGTCACTTTTCATTGCCGCAATATCGTTTGACGCAGATTTTTCATTCGTTACGTCTGTCGGGGGCTCGTCTCTCTGGAAAATTGTCCATTTCCTCTATGCAAAAACATGTTTTGATGCATGCATATCATCAGTGAGTTAGAATTTGCTCCGGATGTTTCTAGAAGATACAGCTGAGATCGTTCAACTCGAAAACATTTTCACATTCAACGGACATGCAATTTTTTATACAAGCAAACTAAGTTAAAAAATATGGATGCGAACATTTCGCATTTGGACGTTTGATGAGAACTCAAGTTATTTATTTGTCCGAGACAGTCAGTCTGCGCAGCGTGATAAAATCGCAATAATTTTCCTCAATGAAGGTCAAGACTTTTATTGAACTCCAAACTGTTTTCCATGTTTAGCGTATCCCCTATGGATTATCTTTAGTCGTATGCAAAGAATAATTTCTCAAGAAGATTTTGACATAAATATACCAAAACATAAGTTTGACATAGGAATATGATCAACTTATTAGAGCAGTTTCATCAACAATTTTATTACTTCCTATGCCACAGACAACGAAAGTTGTTTTGGAAGATCGATGTTTCAACAAATTCCAAATACAATTTTTCACGCATTTCAGGTTTCTGGGGATTTTCAAATGCAGCTCAAAATTCTATTGGGAAACTTTTTAAGTGTTTGGTATGTGAAACATGTCATTTTTTTAATTGATTCAGAGTTGCATATTTAATGAATCGTATTTAGGCAATTTGAGTGTAACCTTTTTGTTGATATCACATTCTTATCGCTGAGAGTTTCAGCTTCTTATTAATAGTTACGCACACATTTGGCAGGTAGAAAAATGGAACATGCGAAGTTCTAGCAGTATTTATAGAAGTATACAGATAGTATAATAAAAAGCTTAAATGATACAGATGAAAAATCTAAAAATATAATTAAGGCATGGCTTATTTCCAAAAAATAGTTTGTAATTTTGCAACCAAACAAGAAATGAGGCCGTGTAGATTTAGTATCTCAGTATATTCCATTCATTCGCATTTTTCTTAAACCGCCATTTTCTGTTCGATAAACAGCCTAAGGGTTTGGCTGCAACTTAAAATGTAGGAAATGATGTAATCAAAAAACATTGCAGATTGGCGATAAAAATGTGTCTATTAAAGGAAGCTTTAGCCTTATTCACGCATTTTTTTTCCAACGGTAGAATTTTGGAGGCACTGTTCAATTACTCTATCTACGACTGATAAGAAAAATCTATTTTATGACTAGGTTTTTCGGGAGTTTTTTCAGTCCACGCACTGTTTTATGCCCTAGTCCGGTAAAGTAACTTTACTACCCGCTATGTACGAATCACCCTATGTCGAACACAATGTGGGGGCCACGGGAACTGTCTTTATTCGTTTGTGGACGACGATGCAACTACCGGGGACAATAGTACGGTCGATTCATTTTTACTCTTTGCTCTGATGACTAATATCATTTTTACTTCCAACTTCGAATGGCGGGGAAGTATTGTAATTGCGAAAATTAATGAAAATGAGATATTGTTTTTTGAATGTTATAAGTACATCACGAAAGACCATGTCACTTATTTCCGTCGGTCTGTCTGTCCGCTAAAATATAACCGCCTATAATTCGAGAAGTACCGCAAGGACTCAAAAGTTTTGTAGTTTTTGAAAATCGGTCCAGTAGCGGCAGAGAAAAAGACCAAAAAACGAAAAACAGTAAAAATCGCTTAATCTTCGTTTTTTGACGTTTCAGTGGATCCTGATCATTTTAGAAAAATCTTTGGAGGTGAAAAAACCTGGGGGCGGGAGTTGTAAGAGGTTGGGGAGGGTTTATCTCAATTTTTTGATGTAAGTACATTTATACGCTACCAACCTTGGTCATTCTATGCACCTATTAGACATATTTGGTATGAAAAGCAGCTTGTAGCTGACACCCGCCAGGTTAAATAAAGGTTATTATTATTATCATTATTATTCTATTTCACACATCATAGATTTCTCTGTAGATTAGTCCTTAAAACTTAGAAAAATCCTCGCAGCAGACGAATCGCGTACCTACCGGCCGTGGCTACTGGTCCCGCCGGCGTGCCACCAGCCTTGATGAGTGTTCTGTTCTTCTGGTATGGTATTCACGTATAGTGTTTCCTATGCTCTGATCGCGCTGCGACGTCTGACCGGGTCAAGTATCGGGGAGAGGCGACTTTGCAGATGAACTACCAGTAAGGCAGGGAAAGTTTGTGTATAGACTAATTGTATGAACCTGATTGACTGACTTTTTTCTCAGTGAGTCTAGTTTGTGCTGAACATAACCTTTATGAACTGATAACGGCGTTGCGTGGGAAGTGCAGAGTTCACTTACTTCACGACATTTTTTATTTTAGGCAGTCGTAGATACAATTTTGTACACATCTGGACCTTAATAAGCGTTTAGTTACTATAGTCGAAGTGAGGAGGTTGGTCGGATTTCAAGATACCTTTTTCATGTGTTCGAAAATGATAAAGAAGTTGAGAAACGCTAAAAATAATTTTTTTGATCTAGAACATGGTTTACGCACAAAAATACCAGAGAGTGGATGCACCAGGGGCTTGATTCCAACTGAATTTCACCGATTGAAATCATTTTCATGCCTTAACCCACTGATATGAACCGAAATAATGTTGACATCAATTTTTAAAATCGCTTTCTCATAGTAATGCAGTAATGTACTTTCTTGATAATATTTTTGTGCTTTGTACTCACCGTAGAATGTCTCCAGTACGTGATAAGATCCTGTATATTGTTGCTGGGCGCCAACAACAGGAAGTCTCGCCATTCATCGTAGCTGATGTTTAGGCTGCCATCTTGATCCATTCTGTAAAGCATACAGGGCACGTCAAAATAGAACAGCCTGTCGTCATTCTCATCTTCATTCTCTAAACACTGACTTCGACGAGACATGATACTAAATAAAAATAAGGCTTGTTAAGGCCACGTACAATTCTTATGGAATATTCCTGGGAGGACATCTAACAATCCTTGCGAACTCGACAGTCTTATCATGAGAAGCAACAAATTTTTATGAAAGGCTCAATCGGCCATTGGATTGAATATAAAAGTTTTGTAAAATAAAATAATACCGTCCTTAATGTATCGCTCGAAACTTATCCTGTGGTTGTCTCGCTAATGAGTTTCACTGGTCACCAAGTGAGGCCACAGATACAGATATAGGATACACATTTACTGATGATTCGACCACCTCGCTGGCCTTTTCGAAGGTACGTCAAAAGTAACACAAAAATGTATTTTATTTATTGTCACCTGGAAGAGAGGTAAAATAGTTTGTCATTGTATATCGAAAAAGGCCACCGAAGTTGCCGAAACGTTAGTAAATGCTCAATCTACATCAGTGGTTTTATTCGGTTGAAAGTGCAATATGCAGATTCAACAACACCGATCTTCCTATAAAAAAAGTAGACGCTCTTTTAAGTGCTCTTAAACAATACAATATTTTGCCAAACATGATCAAAAGTTGTTCAAAAATGGAATTTTCAAAATTTCTTTCTGCAGATGGGCGAAAATCCATTCTTTTTGTAAATCAGTTCCTGCGACATGGACGGTTTCGGTAGTCGAGACAACCGCCATCTTGGGAAACGTGATAAGAATTCTAATGAATCCATCGGCATATTTAACTTCTGACGTCAATTGGCCAGGAAAGTATTGGGATGGTGAATAAATTCGAAATGTTTACACTGTTTAATTAGTTACTAATTGTCGTAGATGTGTCCGTCAGTCCTTGGTCCCTCAACTCGGAAAACGTGTTTTGAAAATCGATCCAGACGCCAGGGACAATCAGCATAACACGAAAATTTTCAGGATATCTCCAAATTTCGTGTTTTATTTGTACGCGCAGTAGAGATTTTTTTGAAGGGAGCACCAATTTGAATCCCTATCCCTGTTTTTCGACGTGTATATATTTGGGGTCACAGTCACGAATTACAATTATAAATTAGCTATGTAATTTTGTCAAATCGTGGAAAATAGTGGCCCAATCTACTTGACTCCACTTTTACAACAGCCTGACAAAATTTAGGAAAATATTGCTCGGTCTTGAGTAAATCAGAAGACAACTGTACGTTTTTTTGCTCTTTTAAATTTGTCTAAAATTTGACAATTTCTCTTAACATACAAATTAGCAATATTAAGAATTATGGACGTGGGCCAAATATTCATCGGGCATATTTGTGGGTTATTGTTTCGGGCTTAATAAATTAACATTTTGTAAAATATTGCATAAATCTGAGAGGAATAACATTCATATTATGAAGGATTGATTCGTTCATCCATAAAAAATGTACGAGAACCTTCAAGAATTTTACTCCAGTCAAAAGACTCGCCTCGAAAAAATCACGCTACACACCCTTTCTGCATACACACTGCAATATTTTACAAAAACAATCATTCGTAGAAATAGACAGCATTCTTTCTTTCGTTCCAAGTTATTACCTTTCTTCATATCACGGTTCTAGTTTGAGTATGAATATCAAACTGATCTGTTATAAAAATCGTGAAAGAAAATTCGATTAAAAAACAAAAAACGTGGGGATTAGCTAAAGTAAAATTCCTCAAAATATGCAATGTGCTTCGGAATATAAACTTTCTGATTCGTTCCGAAAAATCTGCATATATGTTAATTAACTTCTCATTATTACTTATACAAGGGAAATATAACACAGAAAACATTTATTTATACTCCGAATGACATGTACAGCATTCTAAACCAACATGTACAAATGCGACTATCACGAACACTATAAGCTAGCAAACTGTGCATGTTTACCTAAGAATGAATTCGTATAGGTAATCCTTAGAATTCGTTGGACGACTTAACGTTTGAAACAAAAAAGAAAAGACGGAAATTAAAACGGGTTCGGCAGATTATGTAAAAAAGCGAAAAATAGAGAATGAAAGGTCGCAGGTGGGTAGTCCTTATACAATGAAGATTGGCTAAATTACATTTTTCAAGTGGTTACGCAACTTTTTTTGTGATAACAGAGTAAACAACGCCAAGGTCCTCATCGACTGGAGAGTGTAATATGATTTTATTTCACTCAAACATTTTCAACCAACGTCCATTTCAAACGAAATAATGCTTGATAAGTTTTTTCACATACGGTTAAGATTATTTTAACGTAAACGATGGTTCAACGGTAACTATTCAGATATAAATGCGCCAACTCTCTCCCGATATAAATCAAAACCGCATTTATAAGAGGTAGGACGTTTCGACTGTCATAGTAGCCTTTTTCGAAGTATTTATTTCTGCCTTGTCTTATCGCTAAGAAAATGTTTCAGAGACACAATCAAGTATGATTCAGTGATCGCCGTGAAAATGTACCAAGTATTATCAAATTTGCGCAATTTGTAATGGTCAACAACTCGGATAGAATTCCGTATTAATATAAGTATTTTCTGACCTTTACCCAGACACACATTATTCGAACGGGTCTAGTTTTCGCAAGCGGAATTTCCAGAACTGATTAGTATTCCGATGTGAGATACAGGAAATGGAAGACGTTTCTAAGGTTGAGAAAGGTAAAATCCTTGGAGAACGCGTTATTTTTGGAAGTGAAATAAAATTCTGTAGGCGTAGAAAAAGCGGAAGTGAATTTAACGGGTCATGGGATCGAACATAGATTTTAGAGTGGCACTGAAATCAGACTTTCTTCGTTAAAAACTATGACACATTAGGTAAGATGGAATAGCCAAAAAACATGTGTAACAAATTTAGGAAAAAATTGAATAATGACAACCATAAAGTAAAATCAGTATGAAATGATTAGTTAACTTCAATTCAATATATTGACGTCACGTTGCTTACTGTATCTCTCTCATCAAACCCCTTTCAGTCGGAGTGGTAACTATAGAAATTATAAACGCCATCTTGCGGCGGTCGATGTATTTGATCTGAAAGAACTTTCATCTGATGTCCATATTTTTCTGATTTAGAATGACGTCAGTTTGCTTATGTTTCATCAAGCTCTTTGATTTGGTTCCCATATCATATACTATGGAAATGATAAATCGCAATTATGTACCATTCGCATATTAGATTCAAAATGGTGGCAGTTAATAAATTATATGGTATTATCATATGAACCAAATTTCAGCTGTATAAGGTTAATTGGTTCAAAATTCAATTTCTGGATTTGTCCCACACATGCATACGAACTAACATACTATTAATTTGTTACTAGTACAAAGCTTGTAAAAAGTGCCGCTGTTAATGCAATTTATATTAAAATCCCAATTCACATTATGCCAGGAGAAAATGAAAACGGTTCAGGGTATATTCGCATTCCCAAAAATACTCTGAATTTACCAAACTATCTACGTCAAATTTTCTTAGTTACCTACATGCGCAAATTTGCCTTCATAAACGACTTTGTATTGTGTTACCGTTTCCGGATTTGAAATTCCCACCGACATATAGGGAGTTTAAAATTAGACCTTCGCCATTGGGATCTCGGAAACCGTAAGAGGTACGAAGTTAGTTAAATGTGGGCAAAGTTGTGTATTTAGGTTGTCAACAAAATGCCGCTTTGAAAGTTCAGAAATTTAAAGTACTTCCAATAAATTGCTCAGTGCAACCTTTTCTCCTCTACAAGAAGGCATAATTAGAATTTCAATATAACGTTTTCCTGAGGGACGCCATATTAGATTTTTGAACAGATGAATAAAGTTTTTAATTCTCATTCCAAAAATGTATAATACGCCATACATTGACATTGCCAAACCTTAGTTATTTCAAAAAAGCATAATTTCCTAGGTAGGTCTTGAAATTATCGGATAGTCATTTGTTTTGCATACCAGATTCATGCCAAAATCATTTTTATTTTTTCCTGACTAGATTTGATATGCGATTTCAAAATAAATTACATGTCATTGTTACTTATTCTCCTTACAATTGTTCAATTCTAGATTTCTTCTTTCGACTTCCATCACCCACTTTTGGTTTTTCATATGTACCCTATATTGGAATTTTGTACATATAAATGGACTTTTCAGTCCTAAATTCAGTGGTATATATCGTTACCTGGTCATTAATTTGTTGTATGAAAATTATTAGGAAATATGGTGAATCCTGAACCCAAAATGAAAATTTTATTGATGGTAATAACAGTAATATTCACGAATAAACAAAAGTGAATCATAGCAGATGTTCAAAATGTTATTTTGTAGGCGAAGCTTGACTCTTCTCTGTACATTGTTCACTGCTCGATTTATTTCTGTTGTTCTCAGTCTTCCAAACTCTGTTGCTATGTTCAATTTCAGGTCTAGTCTGGTATGACATGACGTATTATACATTTTTGGAATCAGAATTAAAAACACTATTCATCTGTGCAAAGATCCAATATGGTGTCTATAGGAAAAATAAGGTTGATGCTAGAGGACAAGAGACGAAACATCATATTGAAATTCTAATTATGAATCTTGTAGATGAGAAAATGTTAATGTGCAATTTATTTTGAAATCCCACTACAAATAAAGTCAGGAAATAAAACGATTCTGAGAAAATTCGATTTTTCCTTCTCTGCCCGGAAGTGCTTTGAATTTCGAAGCTTTCTATGCGGCATTTTGTTGATTATCTAAATACGCAACTTTGCCGTCATTTAAGCGACTTCGTATCTCTTACAGTTGCCGAGATTCCACTAAAAATGGTTGAATTTTAAACTCCCGGTATAGAGATACTTCTGATTTTTGAACTGGCGGAAGGTATTATATACGTATATTATATTCTCTTCATTTAAATTTCGTGGGGATTGAGATGAGGACGGCGCGGAAACGTTCATAAGCTACAATATGTATAGTGAGAGCGAAAATAGCGAGAAAAATGAGTGTTTGCAATGAAAAGCGACAAAACGTGAAAAAAGTGAGTCGCCAGCATCCCTGTGTATACCAAATTCTGAATAACCTGGCGGAATTGTTCAACGAAAAATAATCCAAACTCGCGATTTTGTATTATTCCGTATAATTATAGGCAAGTATATTATGTCACTACAGACTATAGCCAAAAATGTTGACGATTGTTTATAAAAAAAATGCAACGACGAAGACTGATCCATTGGAAAGTATAAGGCAAAAAACATATACTACCGGCCAATTTAAATAAAAATTGGCATAGTGATGTTGCTGCCTTAGCCCCTGTGGGAATGCCTGCTTGCACCATTTTACGAAAACTAACTCGTCTTTTATGTACACAGGGAACCTTACGTGAACACATACAATATATAAACATATTTCTCTCTTTACGCGGTTTTTAAGGGGGTGCAAACTACGTCAAAATCCCGAAATCGGTATAGAAGCCATGAAGAAAATCTCGATCATAAAATGAATATGGCAAAAAGTACTCACTGTGAGTACATAAACGACGGCCCTATTCTCAATCCCGGCATTTCTATAAGAGTAAATAGATACTTTAAGGTGTGGAGCTCTTCGGAAAAGATCGCGATCGTGGGTTATTTCTACTAGAAAATATTTCAACTATACACAGGTACAAATCAACGGTGTCCTGGTCTCTTCATGCCTTTTTCGAAGGGGTGAAAACAACTACTGAGTCACAAAACCAGGATAGAGGGCACGAGAAAAAAACGCGATCTTGGACAATTCTTACAGCAAATCATCTATCAGAAAATGTTCTATCTATGCATAGCTAAAGACCGGCAGTACCCTTATACGCTTCCGTTTAGTCCGCCTTTTAAACTTTGCCTGCCTGGCCAAAAAAGGGTGAAGTTTGACGCAAGCGACCTCACCTTCCAGAAATGTGGCAAGCGGATCATATAATTAATTTACAATATTTTCTGCTCATTGCAGGTACTATGATTAAGTTTCATACCCATCGATAGAGTGTATGTGTTGTGAATGTAGTTCAAGTTAGAGTAGAACAAGAGAATTTGCATCTTAAAGGAGCTACCCCTGCATTTATAAAAACATTCACCAATGAACTTATCAACGAATATTGCCTCCATATTATAGTCAAGACACGCTAATGAGAGTTGATATTAAAGAGCTAGATGAAATCGATATAAGAACGAATGAGCCGGCTTTTATCGAAATTCGCAACCACCATATGAAGAATCGAAGGACATTATGGTACATGCATCGCAATAGCAAGAAGTTTAGGTACTTGCGCTCATTTTACATCTATACCATAGTATTTATATTGAAAGGTACTGTAATATTTTCCATTTACGTTGATATCTGCTACAAAAATGTTAGCTGTAAGTTAAAAACCAGTCGTACGGGCTCCCATAAGTCTTATATCAAGAAAAAAACTTGTGAAAAGGGAATTCAAAGAATGTACAACTATATAGCCTGTCCCATTTGAAAATCTTGAGAAACAGATTATTTTTCACTGTATAAACTACCAAAAAAACTGGCAAAGGAAGCAAATAGGTATGAAATATGAGAGCATAATTTTTTTCTGATGAAAAATTCAGCACTGCAGCTATAATACTTGCAGCGGTGTGAGTTGTCAGAGTTGAGTGTTTTTTAGATATAATATCTAATATCTTGACAATTTGCAATTACAGTCCTATGGTATGTTATATCAACTTATTTCGTTTGAAAAGGCCTATCAAAATCTACAATAAACTGTAGGGCTTTCCATTAAAAAAAGGTACGGCTAGGTCACCACGTATTTATAATCACCCTGTAGAGATAAAAATACTTTCCAAGTAAGCAGCCAACTCTTGGCTGCATTTGTTTATTTTTTTTTTAGATATCATGCGTAATAATAGAGTTACTGACTGAGCCACCATAAAAACTTTGCCTACATTTTTTTACAGGCTGATTCTCAAGACCAAAAATGAAATATACACACGATCGCATTTTAAGGGGGGTCTTTTATGTAACATTTTTTCCTTGTGAGCTTCATTAAAAAGATAGCAGTTTAAAAATAAAAAACATCTTCAAACCCGTCAACTGGAATGGACTAAAATTTGGTATGTGGACTTATCAAGTATTGTCCACATTCAAAAGTATTTACTTAAAATTAGCGTGCACCAGTGGCGAACATGCAAGGGATTCGTGGCATTTTTTTCCAAATGAAAATAGTACGGCACTGTTTTTTTTTTCGAAACACGCAATTTTTCGAATTTCACCTTCAATTTGCTAGAATTAAATATTCTTGTGTTTTTTCCTGCACTGTTTTCGTAAAAATAAAAATAAAACACATTAGATCATTCATGAAGAACTCAGATACAATTATTAGTTTCAAAATAAAATGGGAGGCCTTGATACCAACTTTAAGTTCTCTGGAGATAGTTTGTCAAAGTTATGTGTTAAACGGTTGTTATCGTTTCTACTACCATTTTTTTTTGTTGTTGTAAAAGTCAAGTCAAAAGTGTCTTGAGATTTTTGAGTGTTGTGAAATAGAATTTAGCAATGATGAGTACTCAGATATTATTTTTGGGTACGGGTTCTGTAATGAAAATGCTTTAGCGGCTTCACGGTAGTATCAACGTAGATTTCCTAACAGACGCTAACCTACCCCAAAGGTTTTTAAGCGTTCATTTCTAAGACATCGGCAACTGTTTAAGAAGAATGGGAAGTGATTAATTTGGCGTTGGATGATCCTAGTACAGGTACTAGGCGGATTGCAGCCCAGTTACCATCTTCCTAAACTCTTTCGTGGAGAATTTTAAATCGTGTTTCACATCCTTACCATCGGCAAAATGTGCAATGTTTGCAACCCGGCGGCGAAGTACAACGGCGAAATTTTTGTGAGTGCTTACTGCAAATGCATAATCAAAATGCAGATTTTATTGATTTTTTTTTTGTTAGAAGAGTCGCTTTTTACGAGGAGTGGAACCTTTAATTCTCATTATGAACATAGTCGTTAGAAAAGCCCCGTTCTGTAAGAATTCAGTCGTATCAACACAAATTTTCTAGAAATGACTGGTGCGGCATTTTCAAAGGCCAACTGTTTATGCACGTATTGCCACAACGTTTAAATGTAAACTCATGCTTAGCTTTTCTAGATAATTACATAGAAAATGAGTTAGATGGTGTTCCGTAAGCAAAGAGAGAACGAATGTGGTAACAGCACGACGGTGCCCCACCGCATGTTTGTCGTGACATAACCGCATGGTTAAATAATCATTTTAGACAACGATGGATTGGCAGAAACGGACCCGTACATTGGCCTGCGACGTTTCTCTCTCTCTGATTTGAACCCACTGGATTTCTTTCTGTGGGGCGCTTTTAAACAACTAATGTATGCTGAACAAATTAATACTGTTGATCCGTTACAAGAAAGAATATATAATGCGTTTCATCATATTCAAGCCACAACAAATTTTGCGGAAATACGTTTTTCCTTATTAAACAGATGCCGAATGGTGATCTCTTTCAGCATTTATGGAAATAAAGCTTTCATTATCTAATTTGTTTTTATTTTTACGAAAACAATGAAATCTAGGAAAAAACCCAAGAATAATTATTTGTAGCAAATTTAAGGTAAAATTCGAAAAATTGCGCGTTTCGAAAAAAAAACAGTGGCGTACTATTTTTATTTGGAAAAATAATGCCACTAATCCCCTGTATCTCCGCCACTGGTCCACATTAATTTTAATTAAAGACTTTTGGATGTGGACAATACTTAGGTAAATCCACATAACAAATTTTAGTTCATTCCAGTTGACGTTTTCGAAGGTATTCAATTTGTTTTTTATTTTTAAACTTTCTAATGAAGCCCTCGAGGAAAAATTGTTACATAGAAGACTCCATTAAAATGCGGCCATGTGTATGATGTTTCATTTTTGGTCACGACTTGTAAATCACCCTGTATATTGTATGTGCTCACGTGTTGTTTATTGTATCATTAGTCCCCTGGGTACTTTAAAGGCGAGTCAATTTTCGTGAAATGGTGCAGACCAACAGGGGCTAAGTCAGCAGCTGTCTTTAACCGCCTGTATCTCAAATAAAAAGCATTTCTGGCTTTGCGTCCATTGGAACATTTGATCAGCACTACATAAACTACCGCTTTACGAATTTACATTTCAATTGTCCCGTGGTCAAATTCCATATGTTTTACGCCTTATACTTTAAACAATATATGTATGTTCAAAAATAAATCAGCAAAACAAATGCATTTGTACATTCTTATACGATATTAATATGAAACAATGAACGGACCTATAAATATATAAGAAAATACCTCTGTAATAAATTCGTTGCCTCGCCCCTTTCCAGCGGTATCCCCAGATCACTAAATGCCCGGATAAGCTCCTCCAGATCAATTTTTCCTGAAAAAAAGTTCATGTTCAGTATCCAACTCTTCGTTAGAAAATATACTAAACAAACATCAAGTGAATTAAGAATTGCTAGTATATTTTACATGAATAGAAATTGACAGGAATCGGATAAGTATTTATAACCACGGCTGCTATGATTATACTCAGACAGCCTCATCTATATTCGATCAGCTTGATGATGCTAATTTTAATCTACATAAGATCAACTGAATATAGAGCCTGTGCTAGTAGATTGTACCCCAATATAATGTGCTAGGAAAAAAAACAGCGGTTGCACGCTAGTAGTAGTACGTCTGAGTTGGAATGAGGACCACAAGTCTAGCAAATAAGTCGGACAGGTTAAGAATTTGGTGGCAAACTGTGGGCATATCGCTAAAAAGGGCCAGATCGGAAAATATCTGTAAGTGTAAAATACTTTTCAACAACAACTTATTCTTTAAAAGGGTCACGTTAGCAAGCTGAAACTCAAGGTGATGCAATTGATCCATGAATACAGCGCACTAGTAACAAAAATTTTCAAGATTGTTCCTAAGCGTCATATTGGAACATATTCAAATCGAACGGCAGTCACGTGGTGCCTCGTTTTGAGCTCCGTATCAGTACGTCATAGCTCTGTGTTTCAACAAACATTAAAGTGCCATACTTTGTTATATCAATATTAATGATGAGTTCTGACAATTTTCTTAACGGAACGTTCCACATGTTATTACATATTTGGATAGATCATTCCAAAAGAAGAAGACCATATACCATACAATACCATGTTGATGATTGGTTGTTGAGTATAAACGATTCAAAGTTTAAAAAAGTTCCGCCAGTCCGCAATTTTTAAACGCAGTGATTTTATATTAGTAGTATTATTCATCATCCGGAGTATCAAATTCCATTTAAAAATACTTCAAGTTGATGCCCAGCCGACATATAAGTAGTAACAAATCTTTCACGTAAAATCTGTGAATAAGCAAAGACGATTATTTGAAAATTTTGTTTATATTTTCTTCTAACAAATATCTTCCGGTAATGTTTCGATCGTGAGCGTTTCTAGCACAATCAAAGTATAACGTACATTTTTAGCATAATGCCAGCGAAATTTATTCAACATTGGCAAAGCACACACACTACCATATATTTTCTCTCGGCGACAATTTCGGGTCGAAAGTGACATCGATCGTTATATTCGTGCCAATTTTTTATTTGAAAAACTTCCCATGAACGGCCAAGATGATCACACACGTGAAAAAGCACTACGTTTTAAAGAAAAAAAAATACTCAATGTCATTCGTAGGTTGCAGTTTGGCATATTAAATAGCTGCAAAACTAAAGTAGAAGAAAACCTTCAGGGAAAACGTTTGATCTTAATCAGTGAAGAATACAACCTCTACTATGGCGTCCAAGCTCTAATTTGAGATTCTATCAATTTTCCGCCATTTTTTCAGCACAGAATACTAAAAATAAAACCTCGTATTTCACCTCTCTTCAAATCAAAATAAACACCTCAATTAAATGAAAACGATTCCAGGGCATTGCATTCTGAAATTGTGCGTGTTTATTGACAGAAATATTTTGGCTGGATATAGTTTGCCCATGAAATAGCATAAAATGCGGGTAAAATCTTCAAGGTTAGCTGACAGCCGGTTCAAAAACGTCATTTTGTTTTTACAAATTGAAATGTCTAAACCAATCAGTCTGTGTATAACGGAGAAAGATTTATATGTTAAGAGAAAAATGATATCTAGGATTTCCCACAACTCGTAACATGCATGAGATTGAAAACTGCCCGACAATCTCATTTTCCCTCCAACCAATGCACATGTGCAACTGTATATCAGACCGAAGTGTATGTAAAATTATAATTTGAATTGAAATTATGTTAATATGTAAGTAATGCAACTATTTGCCAAAATTTGTAATGCCTGCAGTAAACAAACTAGCGATCTTATCGAGCCGTCTTAGAATCTAGCAGTTGTGACTTCATAGACAGAAAAACACGATCCCTATCAGAAGTAACTTTATTTAGACAATTTTCCAATATACTTACCATCTTTGTTTTTGTCAAGATGTGAAAAATGCAGCCTCAAGTTTTTTTCGTGTTCCCTAACATAGTAGATGAAATCAGCAAGGGACAGCTCACCGGTTATGCTCTGAGTACTTTTCATAAATTTCTGTAACAATAAAACAAACGCTGAGTGTCTAGATATTAGCAGCATACATTGAAGATATGAGCTACAATACAAGCCCTAACACAAAAATGTTGGGACATCATCTAATTTTATCTGAAAGTTTGTTTATTTTTGTAAGGTTAACAATTAATTGTTTTTCTTTTATAAGACAATGAAATGTATTATTTGCACATCATATTAACATAACTATTTTCAAGTAAGATGATATTGAAATATAAAATCTACTACTAATATTGATAACAACGCAACATTTTGCTGACACACAAATGTTCGGATACGATATTAAAAAGAAAATAATAGCAAGCCATGGAAACAAGAGTTTAAAATTTGACGTTTTGATTTAAGAATCGATTCTGTGAATTAATTTGCTGTAAAATGTCGCGTGGTAAAGTAACCAGCGGTGCAATCAGAGTTTTAATCATAAAATTGTTCCATCAAGGAAAGAGTTTTCGGGACATTGCTAAATAAATAAATGTCGGAAAGTCTACGGTGGCTGATATTGTAAAAAAGTATGGAGACACAGGTTCATCTCAAGTGTTGGTAGGCCACGTAAGATCAGTCCTAGAATACAAAGATCTCTCGTTCGTATTAATAAAGCTGGTCGTCGAGATGCTGTATAAGGCACATAATAGCAAAATAGAATGAAGAAACCGCAAGAAATGTTTCACGAGAAACGTGAAGTCGGTGGGTTCATAAGTCCAAAATGTATTTCTATAAGGTACGTAGGTTGCATTTAAGGGAGATATAGCATATTTATTCAGTAAAACCTTGGCTTTAGGCTTAGGACGCACTATGGTTTTTACCCGCAAGCGGTAAACCACCAAACCGCCCGGGGCGTACACACTACAGATTTAAAATCAGTCGGGGGAAGAAACCGTCAGTGCGGCCGCTACCATTTGTTTATTTTACTCACAAAATCAGGCGGTTAAAATCCGCAGCGGTTTAGCCGTAGTTCGGCATAAGCCTAAGGCGAAAGAAAAGCCGTTTCTTACGGAAAAACATACGAAAAAGCGAACGGGCAATGTGGACTTACGAAGACTAGAAAAAGATCATTTTAGCGATGAATCGAAATTTGATGTTTGTGTGGGTGACCACCCATCCCTTCACCTATAAACCTATAAAATGTCATCTTGCAGACTAGGTAGTTCTTAGGGTGCAAACAGTCATCCCACGTTTGCTCACTAGGATCGTTGTGAGCGTCCATCAATGGAGGGATGACTCAACTACACGCATTGTTGGTTGCATATGTTTTGTGAAGTTTTCATCTTCGTTAAGAAAGCTGGTTGAATAGCAAGATCGTATCTGGATGATTACGTGTATTGGTCTGCATGTGTATAAATAAAATGAGTGATATTTGCTGTGTGAGAAAATTATTTCTGAATATGCTGCCAATGAAGTATATCTATTAGCTGTGCCCGATGGGTTATTTATATGTTGTCCTTTATGAAGGCCGGTTATGTTCAAAGTTATAAATTACGATTTTTCCCGTTTTCCTGTGTCTTTAAAAACTTTGAGGAGCACTACGAGAAATCGCCACCGCGCCCGCGTTGTATGCAATTAAGCCACGTCACAGAAAAAAATAGTAATGACGCATCACACATCAAACATTTTCGCAATTCCTCACATCTAGGCGCTGATTTGTATTTTCTATTAACATCGCAAAATAAATTTCTATAAAATTTAAATTACTGGAAATAAAAAATAATGTATTAACCTTTTCACTGTTATGAATATCCCTATCTGTAGCATATTTTCTCACCTGTTCTTTCACCAACCAGGAATTTTCTTTTCTTATCTCTTTCGTGTTTGAAATTCAGCAAATTTGCATATGTGATTTCCAAAATGAATATAGAAAAAGTGGATGCGCAAGTAATTTCTAGCTTTGACTCTCGAGTAAGTGTATTTGAGACAAGAATCCAATGGAATGATCATCAACACATATTATTTGCACATAACTCCTCAAAAAATGCATTGCCGTTTCCTTCTAGCTATAGACAACTTAAAACTTAGACCTCCAGTAATGCCATCTCTAAAGCAGACTTTAGTGATTTTACCTCACATCAGAGCCAAACATTGATAACTGAAGCATCATGTCGTTTAGGCAACACGTACAACTACAAAACAAATTCACAACGTGTCCATCAGCTAGTGCTAAGTTAACATCTTGTACAAAAACCTACATAATGTCACAAAAAACCAATACAATGTAAAAAAAACGACATAATGTCACTTTTCAAGATACGTAATACCCGTGCCGGTTATCAGAAACAAAAATGAAGTGTTTTATAAAGACTGCATAAAGAGAAAAGTAAAGTTTCCATCACGGTTAATGATACGGGGAAGCATAATGTGCTTTAGACGTTGGAAAACTTCACTTCATTGACGGAACTGTAAACGCAACTAAATATGAAAATATCCTTGAACCCATTTTGCTAGTATCAAATACAATTTTGATCACCTTATAGAAACTTTATCTTTCAGCAAGATGGGGCTCATGTCATACTGCCAAAACCACAAAAAATGGTTGCAGGATAATAATATGTCCGTCCTTAACTGCCCTGCCAGTAGACCTGATTTAAATTTTATCGAAATTGTATGGCACAAAATGAAGCCGCAGTTAAGAAATGATCCACAACGAAAAATATCTGATTTACGAGTGAAATTACAAAATATATGGGATTCTTTTAAGGCGGAAGACTGCGAAAACCTTGTTAAAACAATGCAAGCCAGTATTAATGCTGTTATTAAGGCAAAGGGAGACGAAACGAGCTATTAATTCGCCCGAACATTCATGTGTCGGCCAAATATTGTTATCAATATTAGTTTAGTTTTATAGATTAATACCATTTTACTTGATAATGATTTTGTTAACATGATGTCGAAACAATATATTTCAATGTCTTATAAAAGAAAAAAATATTTGGCAACCTTAAAAAATAAACTTTAAGATAAAATTAGATAATATCCTTAGGGACGACACTGTATAATTAATTGATTTTTAATACGATATTGGTTAGGAACTTACAAATTAGTGTCTCTAATTTGCATTAGGTTCATTTAACAATAAGCTGTCAAGTCGAATACCAAATTCTGTATATATGTACGAGGGATGTCTTTTAAGTTTTGCATATGGAAATAAAACAACACGGTAGGTAGTTTTAAATGACTTTATTGTTTTTCGAAGTATTCTCCACGAAGATAAATACACATCTGCATGCGCTCGAACCAATTTTCGAAGCACTTATTCCACTCGTTTGCTGGCAGACCCAAAACGGCATTTTTGAATGCGTCAACTGCTTCTTCTCGTGACTGGAACCTTTGACCACACAGTCTGTTTTTAATTTTCGGGAAAGTAAAGAAATCGTTAAGACTTAGATCGGGACTATATGGAGGATGGTCCAATAATTCCACGTTTTCTTCCGTTAAATACTGCGTTGTTTTTTGGGTTGTGTGCGAGCTTGCATTGTCTTGGTGGAGGATTATTCTTCTTTCGGGGTTGATTTTTCGAAGCTCGGTGATGACTTTTGGCAAACAAATGGTGGTATACCAATCCGCAGTAACAGTTCTTTGCTCATTAAGAGGAATTGTTGCAATATGCACTTCGAGAACGGATGACTTTTGTTGGCTTTTCTTCACCTTGGAACACCCAAACAGCCGACTGTCGTTTATTTTCTGGTTCATAACAGTAAATCCTCGATTCATCACCACCAGCAATGATGTACACATTTTTTGAGTTTCCGGAATTGAAACGGTCAAGCATTTTTTGACACCAACTAACCCTAGCTGCTTTCTGCTCTTCAGTCAACAGGTGGGGTATCCAATAAGACACTAATTTTCTTACTCCTAATTCTTCAATTAAATTTTTTGAATTGAGGTCTTTGAGATTTTCAAGGACGCCTCAGTCTCGCGATATGACTTTAACATGTCTATCTTCAATGATGAGTATGCGCACAGCATCGACGTTTTCCTGGGTGACTGCCATTTTTGGTGCACCCACCCTGGGATCGTCGCTAAGACTCACCCGTCCACGTTTGAATTCGCCATACCAACGGGAAATTGTCGACTGATGTGGCGCTTCGTTGCCGAAAACAGACAGTAACTCAGCAAGGTTGTTGCGATAATTGTCTCTGAAAGTTGTAATAAATTATGGCGCAAAAATGTTCTCGGTTGAATTCCATTTTTCTAATGACTTGGTGACACTTAAAAATACACTGTAGTGAGAACACTGCACGTATTGTTGTTAAACTTTGAATTTAAGTTTACTAAAGAGTGAGGTTAAGATTCAGTACTGACTTTCGATCCGCGCGGCCTACTTTGTTTCTATACGTATATGCAAAACTTAAAAGATATCCCTCGTATAGTTCATTGAGTTGTTAGTCAATTAGAAAACGAGCGTATCTTGTGTCTATTATTACCTATTTAAAAAAAATCTCAGAAATATAATTAATATTGATATCTAGCATATTCTAACTGAAGCTAGCAAACCATGTAGCGAATCGGCGACCAGAAGATTATCCGTCTATAGGAATTTGTCACAGCTATGTAGAAATCTACTTTGAAATGATTAATGTCTCATAGATGGATCGTATGACTGCGTAAAATAGATGTAACAAATTCTCATAGATGGCGGCATGGTATATCATCCCGGATACTTTTTGCACGCTGAAATACACTGCATGGTTGGCTATCTTCAGGTAGAATACGTTAATCAATGATACTGGTCAAAAAAACACAGTGTTTGCACGATATCTCTTTTTGGCCACATTCCTAATATTTTTTTTCAATATTTAATAGTTCCACTAATCCACATACCAGCGCACTATGACAATTCTTTCAGATATATCCCATTTCTTAAACCGTGTATAATCCGTTGTTACAAAATATTCCTACGAGATTCCGATAAGAATCTTGAAAGGACCCCATTGTCTGCCTGGCATATGAGGTCTGAATTAACGGGTAAACAATGGATTCCTACCAATATG